CACTGGTAGCCCGGCTGTGCAACTCAAAGGAGAAAGAACTGCACACACTTGTTTTCTCAGCCGGGTAGTCCAGCTCAATGTCGATGTGGCTTCGTCACGAAGCCAGCCGATCCACATGTAGCGCGCGTTCCGTAAGGAACGTCTTGGCAAAAGGGTCCCCTGGGTATTTGGGCCAGAAGGACCGCAAAAGGCGATAAATCAAATCAATTCCATGCAAATGGCTGAAGCTCTGGAGCCTGACGTGAAAACACTGACATTGGGCCAAGGTTCTTTGGATTTTGACCGCACTTGGGCGCCAAGAACGGCCACTCGAACCACACCTTGAGTAACCCCCCGGATACGGGGAAACACCAGGAAAGGGGCGCTGCACGTTTTTGGAGGCTCCCTCGGTGCAAAGGCGGTTGGGTGCTTTGTTGAGGGAAGCCAGCCGGAAAACCAACACAAAAACCAACCGAGAAGCCAACTGTGTCCCATGTGGCTTTTCATGCAGGGGCACGCGGTGGGGGGTATCGACCTGCTAAAGCTCAGTTGCCCAAAGGCAAACTTCGATGTGTTTCCCCTTGAACAGTGGGGGCCCACCATTTGTTTGGCGCTGGGAGCTTTCCAGACTTAAACCCACCGAAATCTCGCAGAGCCCCGCAAGGGGCGCCGCTGGCTTGCCAGAACCAACTTGGACATCCTACTCGAATTGGGGGTCCTACAGGTACACACGGTGCTTTGGTTGTGGAGGGAAGTGTATGAGTCGCTATGAGTGTGTCTTTATTTTTTGCTGAGGCATAAACCACGCGCCGTCTGCGCGGTTTGCAGGGCAGGCCCCTAGAGCAATGGGGAATCAACCCAAGTTTTGCTCGCGCCCCCGGAAATGCCACGCAAAGCGCGCCTCCCAGTCGTCCGGGAGCTCGTCCAGGAGTTTCAAGAGGCGGTTGTTGAAGTCCTTCACCAACCGCACATCGTCCTGAGAGATTGACCTCCTCTTCCCCCGCGCCGCCAAATGCACACATAAATTTGACCAAGAATTCAAGCTCAAATGACCTGTACGAGGGGTTCTGCCCCAAATAAGGGATGCACAAACAAGTGCACACATAAATTTGACCAAGAATTCAAGGTCAAATTAGTCTGGGGTCTTACTCTGGAGAAAGCAGTCCTAGGCTTATGAACTCAGGATGCCGGCCGTGAAACTACAGGCCTGCCACACTGGCCCTGTCAAAACCTCCCAGAAACAGGGCTCCTGACTTTGCTGACCAACCTTGGTATGATTTGATGGCGAAGCGTTTCGATTTCATCGCATCCGATGAACGTTGAACAGAACCAACGAACCAGCCAATGTACATAACTAGATCGACATCTTTGTACATTTCTATAACTCCAAGTTGTTGCCTGCAAACGATGGAGACTGTGATTGTTTACACATCGCAAGGACAATGTTGGAATTTTAAATATCATGCCTGTTTGAGCGGGGGACTACAATGTGTTTCAAGGACCGCAAATCAGTTTGTGCCCTGTGAAATATGCAGAGAACCCCCTGAAATCATTCGCCACACACACATGTCCGTTTTGTTTTTGACACATGGCTGTCAGTACCCGAGGCCAAGCGAGGGGGGGGCTTGAATATTTCGATTGCAGAGCCACGAAGGACAGAAGACAGCAGCTTCTAGTTTGCTATTCTACAGGACTCGGGTTTCTGGTGTGCGCGCGGTTGACTTTTTGCCAGTCTACCCAATCAAGAATTCTGTGTGCCTAAAACACGGCGCAAAAAATGGCCAACAACCAGCCAAAATTGTCCCACACCTTTGTTGTTTCCGGAGAATTTGGACTACACACTTAGGAACGGAGTTTCATGGAAATAAGTTGGGTTTGGAAGGACCGGGCTGTAAACCACGGAAACAGTGCCAAATCCTGGGAAGTGCCTCTCAGCCCCTGCAAGGACAAACACCTGCCTTTTGCAACCTGTTAAAGCAACCAAAAGGCGTTGATCCTCCTTTCGCAACCCCCCCAAAAAAAATGACGTCCACCACGGGGCCCGGCCCCAGCGCATCTTGGTCACCACCCCCCCCCTGTGTGGCTGCGATTCCTCGAGGACGATGACTGCCGGTAGCTTCTCGTCTACCACCTGCGACCAGGATTTGTTTGGTCCGCCCGTCTGGGGATCCCTCATTCCGGCAATGGAATCATTTGGGCTCCAACACTGTTAGTTCGGGGCGCGCTTCCTTTTACAAAATTCCAAAGCATGGGACTTTCTTGTTCTGGGTGGTCATATTGCTGTTGTCAGGGTTAAACTGTTAAACTTACCGTCTATTGAATGTTCCTGTTGCGTGTCAGCGTGCTAAACCAAGTGTTTTAGCCTCCTCCTGCCACAACGCCCCTGCACTCCCTTTGTGTGCGGCATGCTCCCTGTCCTTGAGTATCCCAGAGTTTGTTCAAAGAAATGTCAGTTCGATTGTCCTTCCCATCTACCCTTCACATTGCACGCTAAGGCATTGGTCATTACACTTCGCTGGCAAACTGCTATGCGCTTTCCCTGTCTGCTTGCGCTCCGCCCAAGCAAGCCTTCTGCCAAATGCGGCGGTGGCTGAGGAAGCAGCCGAGCATGCCTTTGGTGCAAAACCTCAGGATCTGACAACCGCCTAACGACTTAACACAGCCCAGAAGACCACAAACATTTGCAGGACCCCAAACTTGGTTGACGTTGGAAAGGGAGCAACAATTAAAATTTTAGCAGCTAAGTGTGGATTTCCCACTAAACCACAATAAGCAAAAAAAATGTTTCCCAACGACAACCATGCAAAGGACTACGAAAGCGTGAAACGCGTCAATCGCGATTTCAGCTGATCACCACTTTAGTTTCGGACGCAAATCTTCACATGGTTGGCAGTCTATTGATTGCCCTTGGGTATAGCTTGCCGGTGGCTTGAACACAGCCCGCATCCCGGGAACATCCTCCCCTGCGCACTGCTCTTAAAGTCTTAGCCATTAGAACCCAAATTTGCAAATCCACTCTCCAAGAATCGGATGGGGTAGTTGCTGCTCATCGGGATACTCCCCACAAAACCCAACGAAAAGTGAGACTGTTCATGGGGCTGTACTTTTTGGAGTGCACCCTTTTCTGTGGTTTTAAAGGGAAACCAAAGGAAGACTACGTGTGTTTTGGGTGGGTCCCGAAAATGCCATCATTCGAGGCAAATCGGGGCTCGGGCGAAGAGGCAATGCAAACCACACAAAAGAGGGGAAGTAGAGAAACCCAACAGGCTGGTGATGGGAATGCTCCATGTTCCTTGAACCCTACGTCTAGGAACGCCTTGTCGGCTTCAAACCCTGTCCGCCTTTTCCGACTCGCACATGCTTCGCAGCCCGGTCTTGCACAGCGCCCGTGGACCGATCCGACTCTCGCAGCTTCCCGATCCACTGGGGGAACTAAGAACGCTAAAGGGCAAGAGCTGTTGGAACTGCCCACAGGTGGCAAAAACCTGTGCAAGAAGAACCGCAGCAAACGGCGCTGTACAGCTCAGCCAGCTGCCCTGCGGCATAAATCGCAGCTGCCGTCAGAGGCTCACCGGAGGCATCCGCCGTGCGCAATCGAATCCTCAGCTACCCATCGCAGTGCCCCGCTTCTGCAAATTCAGGGCTTCCCATGTTACCCCTTGGAAGAAAAGAGCAGCACCTTTGGGGTGCCAATTCAAAGGGCAGGCCTTTCCATTTTCAAGCATTAAAGGTGAAAGGGTTTGTTTTTTGTGTTTTTTTTTTGGGGGGGAGGACCCACTACAACCATGGTTTTGAGTTTGGTCTCCCTCAAAACCGGGGCACCCTCAAAAAAGAGAACAACACATCAGCCCATGGAGCTCGCTTGGACTCATCCTAAATCTCATCCCATTTCCATGAGGCTCCATCCGAAGCGGGAAGATCCAACCTGCTGGGCCCCCAAGCTTCGAGCGTTTTTTTTTTTTTTTTTTTTTTCTCCGAGGCCGGAAGGAAAGAACTAGGGCCCCAGCGAAAAATTAGCGAAAACAAAGGGGAAAACAAAGGGGAGCTAATGGAAAACAAAGGGGAACAAACGGGAAAACACAAAAAAAGCGAAACATCGGGCCCCTTTTTTGCCTGGTGAGTGGAAAACAAAGAAACCCCCAAAGAAGCCAACAAGGCAAAAAGGGGAGCTAATTCTGGGGAAGTTTTTTGTGCGTGGCTCAAAAAAGTGGAATCCCAAAATGGCGGACCAAAAGGTAAATGGAACCAAAGACTTCAACCCGCGGTTTGCCCCAGCTCTTTAATTTTGAGCCATACCCATTTGTGCATCTGTCTTGCACCATTCTTTTCTTGGTTCCCAAAGCCCCCCCAATATTCTCAGGTACTTCTCAGGTAACTTCAGGTAGTAGAATGGTTCTTGTATCCTCTGGAGTACTTCCCCATTCTCACCCTCTATTTGAATGACCCACCCCCTAAGCAAACATTCTAGGGCTACCTTCCATTTCCATTCGTTCCAGGGATCCGTTTTTTCTTTTCCAGGAAGCCATCACAAACCCAGGGGAAACGGATCCGGTGTTTCTGAAAAGAACGATGGTTGAGAAGAATGGACAAGGAATCAACCCCTAGACACTGCCTGAGCTCCTGGACTTGAAGCTTTGGGGGAAGACCAGTTTGGTAAATGAGAATATTTTGGACTTCTTTTCTGGTAAATCCGCTTTGGAACTGAGGATGCATTCCCGCAGCAGCCTCAAATCAACCCCCCTGGACCATATGAGGCCCGGCTGGAAGGGATACACCCCCCACCTGGTTGCCTTCTAGAGACACCACTAAAACCTGAATTGCTGGCTTGCTTCTGACTGACTCGCAAAAGCAGAATTGTCTCGGTCCCAATCGGCCACTTGACGGCTACATTCCGTGTAAGAAACTCAACCCTCTGTTGACAAACGGGACTTACACACTTGATCCGCAAAGCTGCGGGTTGCAAATTCAACCAAATAGCAGTCGAGACAAGATGCAAGGCTTTTGAGATGGCCGAGTCGCCCTCAGAAATTCAGGCGCCTCACCTGCATCCACTCCCGCACTTCTTCGTCCGTGATCTGTGCCCGCCGCTCCTGTGGAGGGTTCATTCGGCTGGCCTCTTGTTTCGGATGTGTAAAGCTTCAAAAAACACCAAAGAGTTTCTGCCCGTTTAAGCTCCTCACCTATGCCAAGTCACATCTGACACCTGGTTACAAAGACCTCAACCCAAACCGGAAGACCAAAATGCTTGGCCCATCCATGGGTTCTCAGTCAGAGCTCCCGGCTGCTTCGAAGCCCGCCCAAACCCTATGCGGTCGGTCCACAATGAAGCATGAAGTTTTTCTGACCGCAACCCCAAGACTTGCGGAATCGGCGTTGATTCATCGATACCCAACCAGCATGGCATTTCCAAAAGCGTGTTCCCTAAGGTGCCGGTCTTTTGAACAGAAAGATGTCTGGAAAGAATTCAGAACTCGCCTCTCGAATGATGGGTGTTGAATAGGGCTCAGGAGCAAATAACAACCCGTCCGGTTGTTACCTTTTGGGCATTATGGGTGATTGACTCAATACGGGCCGTTTAGGGGGCCCCAGGCATCATAATTGTGGCAGGCAACTTGTGGCTGCCAGCAGCACGCCAAGCCGCAAACTGGGCCGGGGGTGGAGGGTGGGCGGTTGGGGCAGGGGTTGTGCGGTTGGGGTTGTCTGCCCAGACTCCTGGTGGGTTTTGATGAGAAGCTGCAGGACTTCAATCAGCTTCGCCTTCACCTGTCGCTCTCTCGTCAGAAGCATAGGTGCCCTTTTAGGTGAAATAGATGGATTTCCCTGGTAGATGAGAAGAAACCACCAGGTAAACCAGGAATCGCCATCTATTTTTCTGGCGAAACAACCAAAAAGGACACCTATGGTCATAAGCTAGTGGCCCATGTTGAATCTTTGGTGATGCGGGCCCAAGGTACACCACATGTTGCTTTCAGATGTGACCTCGGGATTTGGTCAACCTTAGAAAAATATATCACAAACACACAGGATATTGCAGGACACACCAGTTTGAAGGGTCACCAGTTTCTCACTTGCCCCAGGGACGGCAAGTAGAAATAACCAGTGAAGCGCTTGGAACCCTGCCGAAACATGGACCAAGCCCTCACTTCCTGAATGGATTGGTCAGAAAAGGTGCAACCCCATTTTGGGACGGGCTCTACTTGGATCCAGCTCAACATGTCACTTCCTGAGTGGATTGGCCAAAAGAAGTATCCTTCTGCTTTTCCTTTATCACTAAAGTGGTCTACCCAAAAAAGTTAACAGTCCAGGAACTCAGGAAATGAGAATCAGGGAAACTCACAAATAAGAAGGTCGCCCAAAGGGGCAAGTGACGTTTTGCCAAGCACCAGCCGTGGCCGAAGCGGCTGCTACAGAAGGCCGGGATACCATCTGAGCGATGCGTGTTTGAGAGGGTCGCCTCTGCAAGTGGTCTGTATGCTTCTGCCATCCATGGCTCAGTTGTTCAGTGACCCTGGAAAAAAAGGGAACCCTTTTTTGAGAAGACCATTTTAGCGGGGCAGCCACCAAAAAAAAATGGAAAAAGGGGGCCACTGAACAACTGAGCTGGTCAAACGCATGGAAGACCAACTGTTCTAAGGATTCTTAGCTCCTAATCCCGAGCGGCACAGCCGCTAACCACGAAACGGACACAACGAAAAAATGTGGAGGACTGGAGGCCTGGATAGCGCCTTGGCTGAAGAACTTCTTGCTGGCCCAGAAACAACAAACAACTTGGGCTGGCCTTTCCCATGAACCACCTCACGCAAAAAAAAAGGGAAGGCTGCAGAGTCAACAGGCGAGGGGTCCTCGAGGACATGTTTCTTTTAAACGGGCCCTGGTGCGTTCCATGGACAGGAGGGTACTCTTTTGGCTTCCTTCCAAGACTTGCCAAAGAGTCTCCAGGCTAGCTGCCTGGCCGGTTTTCCAGTAGTCCTCGCCCTTGCCGCTGCCGTACTGTTCCTGGTGCGAAGCCAGCCGAAGCACTGGGCCCAGGCCAAACAGTGAACTGCTTGCCGACTAAAAGGGGGAAATGGAGGAAGTGCACAACTTGGTTGATGTTGGCAGTTAAGTGGGGATTTCCCACTAAACCACAATAAGGAAAAATGCAAACTGTTTCCCAACAACAACCATGAAAAGGGCGAAAGGCAAAACTTGTTGGTTGGCAAAGGGAATACGTCGCCAACGGAATTCCACCAATCCCCTGTGTAGAAATGAGTGAGGACAGTTGTAGAGGTCATCAATAAGGCAGGTACCCAAAATGGAACCCTGGTAAGTGGAAACATGGACCAAAACCTGCGTAACCTCATTCCCCTTCGAGCGTCGCAAGTCGTTCCGGCGGCTTCCGACAGTTCGTGGCTGGTCACCGTACCCAGTGATTTCATCTACCTTCCTTTTGCTTTTTCGCCCCCGGGAAACAATAACAATATTTCCAGTAGTGATAGATTCCCTTTGAAACCAACAAGGGAAAATCAAACCATATTCTTAAGCAAGCTATAACACAAATACAAATTACTTGAAGTATAGGTAGCCAAGGGCAAGCGCCAAGGGCAAAGCCCTTGGAACATGAAAAATGGTTCCCTTGAGGGCTTGCCTGGGATCCACTGGGAAGTCAGTGGGTAGAAGTTGGAAGGCTGGGAAAAAATCGGACCCCAGCAAAAAATATAGATATTTTTGCCCGGCCCTGGTTAGTGGAAAACAAAGGGGACCCCAAAACAGCAAAAAGGGAAAAAGGGGAGCTAATTGTGAGGAAGTCTGATTCTGACTGAGGCATTGCTGCAGCCCAGGCCGTGTTTCAGTTGCTCGGCCGCAACGATTTAAATGGTTCAATCTGCGTGTGAACGTCTACTCTGAGATGAGGATTCCAGATCCGAACAGTTCAAGTCCAAGTGCTTCTCAGAAAAGACCCCCCCCCAATATCGCAAGTAGGGATGGGGCCCGAACCCTGTGATTTTGCTTGGCGCAATTTTGCCTGGTGCATTTGCTTTTGGGTACCAGGGGGTACGGAAGAGTATGGATGGAACTCAAAATCCCGCGCCACTTGGGATGGAGGAAGGCATGTTTACATTGCTGGGAAAAACCGGCCACCAAGTGGTTTTCGAGAAGTTCCCTCGTGTTTGTCATCTCAAGTCCTTACTGTGTCTTAAGCGGCGCCTACTTACAGATGACTTCATTTGCCAAAAGCAGCCCCTGGGTACCTACGTGCCCGGTTCCCCTGGGGCTCAGGGGCTGTGACTTGGGGTTTCCCACACACCCCTCCATTTGCTTGAGTCCCCTGGAAGCAATAAAACCATTTCCAGTAGTGATAGATTCCCTTTGAAACCAACAGGGGAAAATAAAAACATATTCTTAACCAAATGGAAGCACCCGGTCAAACATGTCAATAAACGAAAGTGTTTCCGGCCTGGATCTTCTGCAACTCTGCATCATCATCAAGGAAGAAGTTCAGCCACCTCGCACTTTCCCACTGAGAAACTCGTGAAGTCCCGCCCCTGGTACGCATGATCCTTGAAGGAACGAAGAAACCAATGGAGACATGAACCGGTCCATCGAAATCGATGTAAACAAGGCCTCTCTGGCATTCAACGAATGACAACCTTTTGTATATCGCCACAGTGCATCCCCTGCAATCGCGTGCGTGCTGTGCAGAGGAGCCAATGCTTCTGGCCGAAACGCGGCAGCAAACGTTTGATGCTCAAGATTGCGTGAATTGCGAAGATTGCGAGAGATGGCTGAACACACAGGAAAACAGCAAGGAGCGAAGAAAAAGGGTAGGAAGAACGGGCAAAAGTGGCGAGGCAAGATGGTTCAACAAACGAATGTAAACTGCCTGCATCGCTTGTTAGGGGCAGGAGCTCAGCGAAGATTGGCTGGGGAGCCGCGCAAGAAACCGCAAGAAAAACGGAGGACAAAATCACTACAGAAACCGGAAAGAAAACACAGCACAAGAAATCACGTGATGTTGTGGTCGTGCAGTGGGCAGTGGGGGGGAAGGGGGCAGTGTACAGTGGGGGGGGGGGGGGAGGGGGGCAACTAAGGATGCGTTGCGATTCAGCATTGTGATGGCGAGCTCGGCCCAGCCGCTAACGCTTAGTCTTGCTACAGCTTTGACTCAGTTGCCCAAAGGACACAGAAATAAAAGGTGATCACCTTTTGTGACCATTACGAAAAATGGGATCCCAAACATGGGAAGCCAAAAGGTCAAAAGGTCGATTCGCTTTGGGCAAGTAAGTTAAGCATTCCCGGGCCAAAGGCTGGGGTTGGCTTCCCCAAAGCCCCGCAAGTGGAACAAGCCGAGGCACCCGGGAAAAAAAATACTTATCCCTTAAAACTGCAAGCCCTGGGGAAGTTAATATTTTACAGACATATAGCCCATGTTGCCCAAAAAGTTGAAAAGTTGTGTTTTTAAGAGGTAAGAATATATAAAACATATGTCTAGTAGTGATAGAGTCCCTTCAACACCAACAAGGGAACATATAACATATTCTCAAGCAAATGGAAGATGGTCTGAGTGAGAGAACTTGAGCAACTCTGACAGTCCAGGCAGAGCTGGTCATGCTTCTGCACACGCGGAACTCGTAGCTCGCTCTGATTCATCGGGCAACATGTAGGTGCACTTGGCCCCTTCCTACCCTCCCTGAGGCTAACATGGAAGCTCCCAGGATCCCTTTGGAAGACTTGGCTCCATTTACAGAGGCCTTCTGGGAGCTTCTATGCTAGTCTGCGGGAGCGTATGCGAGAATGGAATTCAACTATCATGAGTCTGAAGTGTTTGTTCGTGCGTGTTCTCCCAAGCAACATGGCAGACGGAGCCTATGGGGGGGCTGAGGCGGCGTAAGGCTAAACTGAGTCACGACCGTGGGGAAGCAAGGTTAGGAATGTTCATTATAAAGCCCCTTTTATTCGGTGGCATTTGGGGTCTAACCTCCCCACGGGCGACAACAGCAACTTCGAACGACAGAGGCCGCCCATCCAGGAATTGCCAAGGTGCTGATAAGACACATCAGCGTCCTGAGGATTGGTCGGGGCAAGGTGAGAGGCCCCAGCGCCAACCGCACAAGGCAGTTCGAATGACACGTCAATAGTCCAGCAAGAGGGGTCTGCCCACGTGTCTCGCAGTCGTACCGGCATACCGGCCACACACCAAAATAAGCCGATCAAGTTGAAGGTCCAGTCAGGGGCTTTTATACCTCGGCATCTATGACTTTAAGTTCGCTAGCATGATGATGCAAATGGCATACCTTGACTTCCGTTTGCCTAAGCCCCCTGGAGAAGACAACAACAATATTTCCAGTAGTGATTTGATTCCCTTTGAAACCCACAGGGGATAATAACACACATATTCATTTCCGCAAAAAACCGGGGTTCACTAAACCAACATGGGCGAATTGATCGAATTCTGATTCCACCCAGCGGCTAGTTGAGCCTAAGCTCCCATCACCTGATAGTGTGACAGGGAAAGGAGCTCGGGGTGTTCCCTTTATATACAGGGCATCAAAGTCACTTGTTGGGGGCATATCTAGGGTCAGCATGACTCTGTAGTCCAGGTATTAAATTGCGAGTGGTTGTGTTTTCTGAAAAGACACCTTCTGGCTTGCTTCGGGACTTGTTTAACAAAATGGGATGGCTATTTAGCACCAGAACGAGCGATTCCCAAACCGCAAACGGTTGAAGTACCTAAGGATAGACTTGGGTCGAGCGAAACATGGGCCCGAGCAAAGTTCTTTGCATTGCCTCAGTTGGTGTGGTGGTTGTTACGTGCTCTCAAAGTCTCACTTTGAGAAGGTTCTTGTCATAGCGCATTTCATGGTTCCACGCAGTTGGTTCTGAAGGCAGAATACTAGGGGTATGGTTGTTCTTTTTTTTGCGCGGTTAACAAGGTGCGAAAGGTGTGCAATTGTCTCGGCACATTCTTGCAATATGAAAGGGAAACTAATAATAGAACCTTTTTTGTTGAAAGGGGGCTATATTGATACATTCCCAAATCCCCCTGAGTTAAATTCAACGAACAAAACAAATTCCAAATAGCTACGAACCGCCAAGTGCCATGCCAAAAGGGGCCATTTGTCTAGGTTGCATTCCAGAGGTGTCGCTGTTCTCTGCAAGTGTTTGCTATAATTCCAAAAGCTGACTTAATTGATCCCCAAGTAGAGGACCTTTATCGTGGTGCTCGCCATACCCCGAATCAGTGAGCTCGCTCTAAATTAGGCAAACGATGCTTCTTGTTTTGCACCAAAACCGTGCTCCCTAACAGCGAATGGTTGGAAGCGGCCCCTGATGGTTCCGAAATCCATTTCGCACCGCCCAAGAAACCCTGGTGGTTGATGATTCCCCTGTAAAGGCCAAAGCCAATCCTACTGGTTTTATAAGACTTTTATCTCTAAAGGGAATGGTAAAGGTGGTCTATAGGTGATTTATCGCCAAGAGGCGAGGTCTGCGCCCTTCTCCCGCTGCTCCTTGGCGGTCTGCCTGCCCCCTGCAAGCAAATCTTTGGGAGGTTTTGCCCCGGAAGCACGGTTTTCCTCCAAAAAACACACGGGACAAATGGGTCCGCCCCTGGCATTTTTGTGCGATTTGTTTGGGTGGGGCTAGACTGGCAATCATGGTGTCCCTGTTCATCTTGTTTCTTTCCATTCGCAGGCTGGTGCGCGGAAATCTCCGGTGGCAAGTTCCTGCTTAGTTTGATCCTTTTTCAAAGCGGAAGTGGGACGGAACCCATATTTTCCAACCCAAAAAAACAAAAACAGCATCCCACTCTCGCGCTTCAAGACTTGAGGTGCCTTCCGCTTGCCGCAGTTCTCATCCCATTCAGCACATTCAAAGCATATCATGCTCAGCAGTTGCCTTCAGACTTTCTGAAAGCTGACCATACAGCAGCACTCCGCAGAATATATGCTTGTGCTGAACAATTGCAATAGTGAGCAACATATGCGCGTACGATCGCGTACACACGTGTACGAAAAATCTCTGAACCAATTTGGGCTTCCCCGTGGGCGCACGAAGCTCTTGTACGCTGGTCAAGTTGAAGTTGGCTCCACAAGCGAGACAGTTCTAGAAAATCTCAAACGGACCATAAGGCGTGTCTTCTTTCATGGTACTCTGCGTTGTGAGCGCGCCTTCATTTACAAAATGGAAGACGCAAGCATACAGGTTCTGATGCCTAACAGTGACACAACAAGCGCGGCCTTTCAAGCAATCAACAGTTCGCGTGGCTTACGGCCAATCGGCTCGGCCCCTCTTCAACCCTGCTTGCCATCCCGGGATCCCCCTTACCATAAGGGGGAGGGGGGTGGGGGGTCCCCAATTCCAGTTTTTTAGCCCCTTACAAAGGAAATGGAACCATAAATGGAGATCTCCAGGGGTCACCCGCCTCCCATTCCATATTTAAGGGGGTAGGGATATCCCGGGCCCGCCGCAAATCCTTTTCAACTGCGTACGCTGTGGACGTCTCTCAGAAAACTGGTAAGCTATGCCTGCAGCCGGTGGGAGCCGAAATGCTGCCGCTGGATTCTTGAAGACTGGTTGCCACCAAGGTGGAAAGGCACTTCTCTGGGGGGTGATTCCTTCTCCATTCATTTCAGCCATTGTTATTTTCAAAAACCGATGATGTGTTTCCCTGGGTTTTTGATGGTTTCCTGAAAAGATTCTGATCCCAGGGAAGAATGGGGAAGACTTGGTTGACGTTGGAAAGGGGAGCAACAATTTAATTTTTAGCAGTTCAGTGGATTTGGTTTCCAACCACTAAACCACAATAAGCAAAAATGGTGGGAAAATTGGTTTCCCGTTGCAACAACCATGGAAGGATCCCAGGAAAGAATGGGGAAGATAGCCCTAGAGCTTTGGTTCGTCTCCAGTCCGTCGGATCCCGCCCAAAACGCCAGGAAGGTCTTGCAGGTCGCTGGCCCCTTGGCCATGTGCGCGCGAGCGCGCAAGATGCGACACGCGACAAGACAAACCACAGCCGCCTTTCCCTTGGCCCTTTTGGCGCATACAAGCCTTTCAACCAAAACAAAACTGGCTTCGTGTTTCTCAACTCACCCGCAACACCTGCTTTCAGCTCGGCGTTCGGCTTTCGGATCTTTCGGCTCACGGGAAGTAGCAGTTGGCCATCTTGTTGTTCGCGTCCAACTTGTAGGACTCCGATGCGAAGTACTTCTGCAGGGTGGGCAGTGCCTTGAAGGACTCGTAGAAGGCCTTCCAGTGATCGAAGCGGAAACCGGCGAGAACCAGCGCAGGACAAATGATTTCCGAGTCCGGAAAAGAATCCAACATGATCCATGCCCTTTTCCACGGAAAAGGAGCTAGGCCCCTTTTTGTGGAATTTTGTTTCACTTTGAGTCACTGGTAACATCCTCAGATATCCTCAGTCTACCCCGAATTGCAGAATATATATATATATATATATACATACTTATTCTTTATTTTTATTGCTTGCTTCGATCGTCACTGGCATGTATCCAAAGTCTACCCCTCGCCCCGTTTCCCCTTTTGGCTTCCCTTTCGGGAAATTTCGGACACGAACTCGTGGGATCTGAATTCCGGGCGATTCAGCAACCGAAGCCTCAGTTCCCGATCGTGGAGCCGAGGGATGAGCTGCAACAGGGTCGGTTAACGGATGAAGTTTTTGGGTCACCTACACAACCCGCCTGCACCTGGATCTACACAAACCACCCTCCACCTGGATCCACACAAACCACCCTCCACCTGGATTTAAAAAATCGAAGTCCAGAAGTGGGGGTTTTGGATGTGCCTGGTGCATGGAAGCCTTCCCTTTGCGAACATGTGAGCAAAGGTTTTTGTGACATAGGCCAGGTCCTGCCGCCGGCGGCCAGATCCTTCCCCGGGAGTTTGGCCTTGCACTTGGGAAAGTTGGTGAAAATGTCCGGGCTGCCCAAGCGCTCGGCCATCATCTTGTGCTGGTCCAGCCTCAAGCTACACGGCTACACCGCCTTTGTCTGCCTGTGTGCAGTACCCAGTTCTTTCATGGGTTCGAACCCAGCATGGGAGTTTTCCCTTTGACACGGCTCATGACAAGTTTCCAGCCCGAAAGGTCGTAAGGAAGAGTGCCACTTCGCTGGTGCGGAATTGAGCCACTTCGCTGGGAAATCTCCGCGCCTGAAAGGCGCTTCCTTATTTGAGAAAAATTAAGGAAGGAAACGAGCCAGGTGCTCGAGTGCTGGGGTACTGTTGGATCAATGAACCCCTTCTACAAAAATCGGGCCGTCGGGGGGGGGGGGCCTCTAACCCAGGCACAGCTCCTGTATAACAAGTACTGATCCGGGAGGTATGGAGACCTGGAGTGCTTGTTGCTTAAGAAGAACTCAAGGTGAGAAGCCACTCAAACTGACCAACCCCGGACCGTCGACTGCGTCTCTGCTTTCGGCTCTTACGCATCGAGCAGCTCCCAAAGATCGCCGAACCTGGTGTTCTGCAAGAATGGCCCTTAAATGCCCTTAAGCCTCCTGCAACTCTCCCGGCCCTGCACCAAAGCTCTGGAACCCTTTCCGCGAAAAACGCGGAAAGGAGGACGTTGCCTTTCAAAAAATCGTCGAACGAGGTGGGAAATGAGTCAGGTCCCTCCTCTCAGGGCCCAAAAATCTGTGGATGGGCCAAAAGTCTGCACCAAAAAGACCCTGGAACGATGACCCCCCCGGAAAATACGTACCAACCAAGATGGTTTCTGAGGTGGGGCAGGATCTTGTCCATCCACAGTATCTTTCTTTTCCTTGGGCATCAGGAAACTGGTCAAGTTAGGGCCTTAGCCCCGCCCTAGAAATGGATAGAACTCTCTCAGGCGTTCTGTTCGGAGGGTTAGGCCCATGGATGTCCATGGTGGGTCAACACATCGAGATATTGTTGTGTGAAGAGAACGCTCGTGCTCCCGGGGCCGGCCCTCATAGTTCATTCGATGTGCCCCTGGCAACATCACCTCGCCGAAAGAAACTCACTTGGACTTGGCATACATGGTGACTTAAAACCAACACAACACAATAATTATTATATATTGTTGGATTTCCACATTTGGCTTATCCGGGCGGCCTGCTGATCAAAAAGGATATAAACCGTGTTTAAAAAGCAAATCACGTGAAGAATTGCACTGCATGACCCAAATATGGAAATACGTGAAGCTCCAACAATACCACACCTGTAGAACCAGGCTGCAACCTCCAAACGACCACCGCCAACCAATTTCCGACCACCTTCCGACCACGCTCCGACCACCTCCGACCACCCCTCGACCACCTTCCGACCACTCTCCGACCACCTCCGACCACCCCCCGACCACCTCCGACCACCCCCCGACCACCTCCGACCACCTCCGACTCCCGACCACCTCCCGACCACCTCCCGACCACCTCCCGACCACCTCCCGACCACCTCCCGACCACCTTCCGACCACCTTCCA